GAGAAAGAGAGAAAGAGAGAAAAGAGGAGAGAAAAGAGGGAGAAAAGAGGGAAAAAGGAGGAAAAAAGAGGAAAAAAGAGGAAAAAAGAGGAAAAAAGAGGAAAAAAAAGAGGAAAAAAAAGAGGAAAAAAAAGAGGGAAAAAAGAGGAAAAAAAAGAGGAAAAAAAAGAGGAAAAAAAAGAGGAAAAAAGAGGAAAAAAAAGAGGAAAAAAAGAACGGTGAAAAAAACAAAGAAAAAGAAAAAAAGCAGAAAGAAGCAGCAGGAACACAGGTATCCCTGCAGACAATCCAGGCTGCGGAACTCCAAATTTACAGTTTAACGAAATTTCCTGAGGGTCAGGGACTTGCAGGCGGAATTCTCTGCTCCCGTCTCCCCTCCCATCCCCACCTGCCCCCAGCCTGGGCTGCCCTCCGCCGCAGCCCGCCCGGCTGGCATAGTTCTCATTCCTTCCTGCGGCGATCCCGAGAACCCCCTGCATCTCTGCAGAGAGGGGCTGAAAACCTTCCTGCTTTTTTTAATAACCGCATTTAATTAAAACCGCGGTGATTAGCCAGCCGTGAGTTTGCAGGAGAAAGTCAACACGCTGGCACACAGCTCCTCCTCCCCCGTCGCTCCCGGAGGTCCCCCAGCATGGGGGGACCCGAGTGGCCCTGGAGAGGGACCGGGGAGTTCCCTTCCCTGTCGTGGGCATCAAGAGCCACTGGAGACCCGCCTGCCCAGGGACAAGGTGGACAACACCCAGGCAGGAGCAACCACTGCTAGGGTCGCTGGCACGCTGCAGGTTTGGGCTGGGAATAAGGCAAGCGGAGGGATGAGCCACCCAGGTCCCTCCTGCCCTGACACATCCTCAAAAGCCTCACGTGCTGGAGGTCCCCTCCTGTGCTGGAGAAGGGCGCAAGCCAAGGTGGCTGGGAAAAGCCCCTGTGCTTCAGGCTGTCCCCAAAGCTGGTGAGCCTGGGGGCTGGCCCATACCCCTGGAGACACACTTCTGCCAGCTGGCGACAGCAGCCCTAAGTGACCTTCCTTGGGCTTTCCGCTGAGGCCTCACCAGCTCGTCACAGAGATGGAGCCTCCTTCACTTGTCCAAGGGGACAGAAGACCTGCTTAGAAAGCAGCAGCATTTCTGCTCTGAACCTTCCCAACGAGGGACCTGTCCAACAAGTGGCATCTCCCCAGGGGTCCTCTCCGGCCCTCTCCTACACCTGGTCCTCAGCACCCAGAGAGACTTGACCTGGCCATTTCCCACGTGTGCTTAGCCCCAAGGGGCTCCAGAAATGTGGAGCCAAGGACAGAGATGCCTTTACCCCGGAGTCGAGAGGAGCTGCAGGGACCAGCAGCCCAGCAGGTACCTCCCGATTCCCAAAGTGGCCGTGAGCTCTCCCCTGTAACCGATCCTTTCCTCCGCTGCCCTCAAGGCCATGGCGTTTCTGCACACCCAAGCTCCTTCCCGTTCCTGCCCTTCTCCACCGGCTGCCAGTGCTGCTCTCCTCCCAGTGGGATGCAGCATCCCCACAGGACCCATCCGCGTGTGATGGATGGAAGCTGTGGAAAGCCCTCCCCAGCCCTGAGGGGAGAGGGGACAAGGCAATAGGCCTCCAAATCTCCTACCTGCCAGGTGGGATCGGCATGTTGGAAGTAGCAGAAGTTGTCGGTAATCCACTTGTAGATGGCAGAGAGGGTGATTTTGGGCTTATCACTGGCTTCCATCGCCATGCAGATGAGGGTGGCATAGGAGTAGGGCGGCTTGACGTACGGGTTGGTCTTGTAGTCGATGTCCTCCGCGAGCTGAGGGTGCGTGGCCATGGCGGGGTGCGCCGTCCTCGAGGTGGAGGAGGAGATGGGCTTGCAGGGAGCGTGAGGCATACCCATGCATGCCGGGTCGGCGGCCATGGGCGAGCACGGGGCAGCAAAGCCGGGGATCTCTTGACAGTCCTGGGGGTCCGGGTCGCTGGGGCAGCGGGAGGGCTTGCCCATGCTGGCGTGTTTGATGGAGAAGTCCTGCAGCCACATGAGGCTGGGG